AATTTTCTGGAGGAGAATGCTTAGGGTTTGCGGCACAAGGCTTGGCCCAATCCAAGGGGGAAAATAACTAGGGTTTCTGAAAGATTTTAGGGTTTCAAGAAGGGAAGGGGTGCGGCACTCTTTTAGGCTTCTAGAAAGAAAATGTTTTGTGCAGAAATTGGGACTTCTAGAAGGATTTGGGGTGCCACCTTTTTAGGGCTTCTAGAAAGGTTGGTGCGGCACATGCATAAGAGAAGGGATAGGTCTTCTAGAAGGGATTTAGGTCCCCTTGTAGTTGATTACTAATCTTCCAAGACCTGAATTTATTTCTCCATCTCTTTAGCACGTTCCTAGCTTCACTTGATCTTCAAAAACTTCCATTCCTTGTGCTCCACATGCATGCAATCCAATCCAGGCCAAAAGTGCTCTAAAATACTTCAAAATGCACTTTCTTGCCAACTTTGCCAATTAGACCTACAGACACACGAAAATAGCTTAAAACATTATAATAAACACAAACTAACTATGAAAATGCAAGAAAAGAAGCTAACTAAGTTGCATAAATATGCTCCTATCAAATTCCCCCACACTTAGCTTTTGCTAGTACTCGAGCAAAACAAAACAAACAAAACAAACCTAAACCTTCGAACATTCGCCTCAGGGATTTCCAATGAAACATGACATATTAAAAATCACTACTCATATAGATTTTAGTTATCCTTACCCTCGTGCACACACTTAATCACAGTCACCACTCACTAGCTCGCATTTAATCAATTTAAAACAATGTTTTGAATGTAGTAATATGCCTTAGAGAATCCCTCAATTCCTTACCGGATATACACTCTATTTTCGCATAGAATTTCTGACTACACTCCCTATACTAGGTATATGTGAGAAGTTTGATGTAAAAAAAAAAAGCACTTTCTGGAATTATTAATGCATGTATATATATATGATCTCATGAAAGGAATGCCACTACTTAGACGCGAGAACCAGAGATACCATATGCTCATACTAATCTCAAACTCCACATATTGAAACACACAACAACCAAGATTAAAGTCTAAGGGTTGTAACGGGGCTAAGGGTATTAGCTAACAAAGAAAGGTAAGGATAAATAAAGGTTCTTAAAGTAATAGTAAACAAAGTAATGAAATCAACTTAGAATTCACTCTTGAATGCAGCAAATAACTTGAAACACTAAGGGGATTTCGTACATACTTAGGGTTATATTCAAACTTTTTAGACCCTTTCTTCAACAACCAATACTTGTGAGTTCATTCTCACTTATTTTCAACTTATTTTTTCTTTTCTTTTTTCCACTTTTTCTTCTTTTTCACGTTTTTTTTTTTTTTTTTTTGCTTTTCTCTTTCTACTCATGTACATAACCTTCCGCCACACTTGATTTCTGCAATATGTTTGATCAAAAGGAATTCTCTCTAAGTCATGCTCCACTATACTTTAAGAACAAGGGTATGGATAATCCTATTCTAGGCTAGGTAGGGATAATGTGGCTAACAATGAAAATAGGCTAAAAAAGGCTCAAAGGGGTTAAACCTACAAAACAAATGCATGGGATGAAGGCTTTTTGGCTTTGGTGGTAACTACTAAACAACTTCATCTTGTTATATGTTATGCACTCAATTTTAGGCTTTGAATGAAATGGCATGAGTTCTAGTATTTGGAACTAAAATGATAAAACGCATTCTAAGTAGCAACCAAGCAAAGAATAATGAGATCATGCAACAACTTTAGAAAACAAGAAATCACAGATTAATAACTCTCCAAATAATATTTAGGCTCAAGTTTCTCAGGGTTGTAGCGTTAGTTTGAGTTCCTTCCTTCAAGCATGTTACAAAAACTGATTTTTTTCCTTTGTGATTACATGTGAATTCGTAAATGACAACTATAACCAAGCATAAACCAAAGAGCATATCAAACTTCCACCCATGTTTGTGGCTTTCTTTAATAGTCGTGCAATTAAAAATCAAATCCTCATCATTGTGTTGGAAGGTACCCTACGACACATACACACAAAAACGACTCTTTTTGGGTTTTTCAAAACTTTTTCTATATATTTTTTTCAAATTTTCGTATTTTTCTTTCAAAGCACACTAAAACACTTCAAAACACACTAAAAACACTTAAAAACAGTGAAAGACAACTCTAGTGGTGCTAGGTGATAAAAACTCACGAAGTTTCAATAAAAACACTTGTTTACCCCCCCCCCACACACACACTTAAACCAAACATTGTCCTCAATGTTTCAAACATAGACTAACACGCAGGCAAGTAAAGAACACAACTAACAAACACGACAATCATGGCAAAGTAAAAATAAGAAAGAAAAGGGGGGTAAGAACGCAAATTTGTTTATGGAGTTAGAATTCCATCAAGCCCTCGTATAAACACATGGGTTGCCTCTCAAGAAGTGCTTTCTTTAACGTCTTCCAGCCGGATGATACCTCTATTCAAGCTTCAATAGGGCCAACGGCATGGAAGGGTACATCCGCCACGACATGCTCCTCAAAAGTCTCGTAGTAGGGCTTCAAACGGTGTCCATTTACCTTGAATTCATGTCCCGTCTTCAAACTTTGAATTTGGAGTACACCATAAGGAAAAACATTAGTAACAACAAAAGGTCCAATCCATTTAGAATGTAACTTACCTGGAAACAAACGAAGCTGGGAGTTGTAGAGTAGCACTTTGTGCCCGATAGAGAATGTCTTGCCACGAATCATCTTGTCATGGGCCGCCTTTGTTTTCTCCTTGTAAATGTGAGCATTTTCATAATCTTCATACCTAATCTCTTCAAGCTCATTCAATTGGAGCTTCCTATGATTTCCAGTGGCATTAATGTCCATATTGAATGTCTTGACTGCCCAATGTGCACGATGCTCCAACTTCACGAGAAGATGACATGGTTTCCCATAGATGAGCCGAAATGGGGACATTCCAATTGGTGTTTTGTAGGCTATACGATATGCCCACAATGCATCATTCAAACGCAAGCTCCAATCTTTCCTAGTTGGTCTAACCGTCTTCTCCAAAATCTGCTTGATTTCCCTATTCAACACTGATACGACCAATATTGCATACATTTTAATGCCCTTTAGTTTAGATTTTTGTTATGTTTTTTAGTGAATTTAGTTTGTTTCATTTAGTCTTATGTTTTTCTTAGATTTGAAGAGTGAAGATGAAGAAAGAGAAAAAAGAAAATGAGCATTTTGGCGATTGAAGTGAGTTATGTGCCCTGGAAGCAGAAGCTGTTTGTGCAGATCAGCCAACTTGACGGAATAAACTGTACTTCCTCAGAATGAACCAGCTGTTGAGCCTTATACCATTGGAAAGATATGGATGTTAGCTTTCAGAGGAATTTTACGGACTGTGATTTCGAGTTTCCTAGACGATGTTATGAAAGTTTTTGTACAAGACGTCGGTCAGCCAAGTCTACGCGGAAATTGCAAAGTCTGTTGGGTTTTTTTCAAGTCATAATTCAGTCGAAGCCCAAAGCCCAAGATAGAAAACGTTGGAGATGATTTTAGTCCTATTTCAAATGGGTCTGGAGTAATTTACTTGGGAAACTTACCTGCCACATCATCAATTATCCAATACAAATGAGGAAAAGATTAAAAAAAAGACCTAAGGATGCTAGGATTTTGACGAATCTATAAGGGAGAGATTGTAGGAAGCAAAGGGGGTTCTCTGGTGAGGGATTCTCGGCGTGTTTTTGGAGGAGCAGCAGCCGCTTTCCATTTTTTTCCGAAGTTTTTCATGTTCTTAATACTTTTAATTATGTTTTCTTATTTTATGAGTAACTAAACTCTTTTTCTAGGGTTAGGATGATGCCCTAGCATGAATGTCTATGGTTTTTAATGTTATTCATTGGATTTCTAGTTTCTTTTAGATGAATGCTTAATCACTGTTTGAACTGTTACTGTTTGTTTGAGTTCTTTGATTGATCACCTTAGGACTTTGCATCTAGTAAGATTGGAAGATGAATTTGAGGCTGAACTAGCAATATAATTCAATTAGCTTCTTGTGGTTAAGTGTGGTAAATTACATTATTGCTTGACAAAGAATAATGGTTTGCTTGGTTCCCTTGTTTTCTAGAGCGTAAAGAGTCCTACTTGTTAAATTTATGCCTTAACCAGGATAGACTGCATGTTAGGATATACGACCTCTGCCTGAACTAGGAGAGAATCATTCACTTAAGGAAAACTATGGTCTAATGTGCCTGACAAGGACTTAGATACGGGAATTATCATCTAAAGAATTGAAAGATCCATTGAATGCATTGAAACCTAAATTAGATTGCTTGTGGTTGATTCCGAATCCCTAGACTTTTCATCACTTGCCTTAAAACACAACATTTTCTTTTCTTTGATTTCAGTTTTTACTTAAGGTTCTGTTTTTGTTCATTTATAAAATCATCACAACAAATTCTTCACATCCTTGATTGATTTTATTAATTAAGATCGAGTCTAGTCGTTGTTGAATTTTGTTTTGGTTTGTGTGTCATTAATATTATTAGATTTGGTTTAGTTTATCAAATTGGAGATTTAATTAGAATCCTCGTGGGAACGATACTTGGACTTGCAACACGCTATATTACGACTATCTTGTGCACTTGCAAGTTTACACCAAGTTTTTGGCGCCGTTGCCGGGGACTCTAATTGAGTCCCCCAATTTGATATTTTATTTCATATCTAATAAGTAGTTATTGTAGATTATTCAATTTGATTTTGTTTTGTTCTCTAGTTTCGAGTAAGAGTCATAACTATTAAGATAAGTAAAAGTAATTTTCGTCACTGTTTTATTTCAGTTTCTGTATCACTGTTTCGACACAGTTTTGGACTAAACTATTCGATTTTTTACCAGGCATATTGTATATCGTTGGAAAGCCCCAGAAGTCTAGTTTTCAACCCAACAAACAGATCAATGATTGGATTTTTGAGCTGCAAGAAATTTACAAAATACTGAGCAGTGGTCAAACAAGGAGCACAGTCTGGTCGTATATGCAAGGTAGACGTTCGTTGCAATTTGAGTTGATTCATATAGACCAAGAACTTGAGAGTACTTTAAGAGAACAGCGGAGGCAGCAAGTGTTTCAAGAACCAGCCATGGGGGAAGTCAATAATGGTAGAGATAATCCTCCACCATTGCCACCACCACAACCAAGGCTCATGCGTGATTATACAAAGCCAACGGAGTACAACGCACCGTCATGCATTGTTTTGGCTCCAATTGCGCAGCGATTTGAGATTCGTCCACAAATCTTTCAGTTGCTGCCTATATTTCTTGGGAAGGAGGAAGAAAATCCATACCATCATATCAAGGCGTTTTTCAAGCTATGTTCCACATTCACATTCACCAATGTTACTGAAGAGCAAATTCGACTTCGGTTATTCCCATTCTCTTTGAGGGATAAAGCAAGCAGTTGGTTGGATTCTCTTCCCGAAGCATCTATCGACACATGGACAGAATTATCCAAGAAGTTTTTGTCCAAGTTCTTCTTCCCCGCTCGAAGAACCAATGCTCTGATCAATGAAATCATGAGCTTTCGGCAACAAGAAGGTGAACAGTTTCATGAAAGTTGGGAGCGATATAAGGACTTGTTTCTTCAATGTCCTCATCATGGTTTCAACACTTGGCAAAAGGTTCATTATTTTTACAAAGGTTTGAACTCTCAATGTAGGAGTTTGGTTGATTCAACAGTTGGTGGAACCTTGATGGACAAAACTCCAGAAGATGCCATTCATGCCTTTGAAACTATATGTGAAAATTCTGAGCATTGGGATTTTCCTACAAAAGATTCGAGAGTTCCAACTGCATCGTCAACAAAAAGAGGAGGCATTTATGAAGTTGATACAAGGACGGGTTTAGAGGCACAAGTAGCAGCTCTCACGAAGCTTCTCACACCACTAGTAAGCAAGATAGCCACGCAGCCATGTAGCTTATGTGCAAGCATCGCCCATGACATGGAACATTGTCCAGCAAATCCTAATCTAGAAGGCATGCATGAGGTCAAAGCATTTAGTGGGAGGCCCCGAAATGATCCGTACTCAAATAATTATAACCCGGGATGGAGAGAACACCCGAATTTTTCTTGGAGAGATTCCCAAAATAGCATGGGACCATCCAATTCAACAAAGCAATATCAGCAGCCTTATCAAGCTCCTCCAATTCAACAAGAAGACCCTTCTATCAAGGACATGCTATCTCAACTCTTAAAGAAAACCGATCGGTATGAACAGGAAGTTGTATCGCTTAGACAAAGTCAGACGGTGTTGGAAAAGGCTCAATCTAATTTTGAGATTCAATTGGGACAAATAGCTACTACTTTGAACAAATTGGAGCGAGCACAAGGGCAATTTCCAAGCCAAACAGAAATTAATCCAAGAAATAATGAGCATGTGATGGCCATTACAACCTTGAGAAGTGGGAAGATGATCGACAACAAAGTAGAGATGCATGAGAAAGTTGAAAAGGAGAAGGAGAGGGGAACGGATATGAATGACCAGCAGCAAAATCATTATTTTAAGAGTTCAAAACAGCCACTATCTGAGCCGAAAAGAACTTTATTTGATCCAATGCTTAAGGATGTGGTGTATGATCCTCCTCTACCATTCCCTCAGCGTGCAAAGAAGGGAAGAAAAGATCAGTACTCGGGGCATATATTGGACCAATTCAAGAAAGTTCAAATCAACATTCCATTGCTTGAAGCCATCAAAGAAATTCCATCATATGCAAAATTCTTGAAAGAACTGTGTACTCACAAGCGAAAGTATGGAAAATATGAAGAGGTGATGTTATCAGAAACGGTAAGTGCAGTGCTTCAACGAAAATTGCCACCAAAACTCAAGGATGCATTATTGGAGAAAGAAAATTTGAACGAGCCTTACTTGACTTGGGAGCAAGTGTCAATCTTATGCCTTATTCTGCGTACAAACATCTAAGTTTGGGGGAGTTAAAACAAAGTTCCATGTCTTTACAACTTGCAGATCGTTCTGTGAAATATCCAAGGGGCATTATTGAAGATGTACTTGTCAAGGTTGATCAATTCATTCTTCCTGCTGACTTCATTGTTTTGGACATGGAAGAAGCTGAAATTCCAGGCAATGAGCTACCTCTCATTCTTGGTAGACCTTTCATGGCTACTGCAGGTACTAAAATTGATGTAAAAGCTGGTTTACTAACCATGACTGTGCAGGACGTTACCGTAAAATTTCAGATCTTTGAAGCTTTGAAGAGTCCTTTGGATCCTCATGATTGTTTTCAGATTGATGTTGTGGATCGAATGAAAGAGAAGTTTGAGGTTGCTCCTGACAAAGCTTTACCTCGGAAATATTTTGAACCAAACCAAAAGGTTTTGTGGAAAAAGTCAAGGTTCACGTTATTTCCCACTAGGCTTCGATCTAGATGGACTGGACCTTATCTCGTTGTGCAAGCGTATCCCCATAGTGTTGTGGAAATTCAAGATATGAAGAGTGGTTTGACATTTAAGGTGAATGACCATCGTTTGAAGCAATACCTGGACCCTATCCCACAAATGAATGAGGAGGTTTTGTACCTCAATGATTCTCCATTCATTTGAAGGTCGCTAAGTCCGGCTGAAGACTTTAAATTTAGCGCTTCTTGGGAGGCAACCCAAGCATTTGATGCAAGAAGATGGAGTTGGTATGTGCGGCAAGTCTGACTTTAGCGACCACTTAACCAGGGGAGTCCTAAACTTTACTCTTTATTTTTCATCTTATTTTTATTCCGTTCTACTTTTCCTTATTCGTTTAACTCATTGCATGCCTTGTTTTTCATTTCACATTGAGGACAATGTGTTATTCAAGTTTGGGGGAGAGATCTCATTTTGATAGTTTTTCCAGTTAGTTGTTTTGTGTCATTAAACGTAGGCTCTCTGTTTTAGTAAATTCTGGAACAATCTGTTGCTGATTCTGAGTTTTGGTCCGCGTTGTGTTCTTTAATTTTTCGTTCTGAATCCAACCATATAAAGAACGTTGAATTCTACCAAGTAGTTTGCAAGATATATGTAAAAAAATGAACAGAGGTCAGAAATTGGTTATTGCAGAGCATGAAGTCTTCGTTTTCAAGTCTTGACTGTTAGTTTTTGTTAGTTGTCCTGTTCTGTCTTTGTTAGTTGTCCTGTTTTCATTAGTGTCTAAAAATAAAAATAATAAAAATAAAAATAAAAATAAAAAATAAAAATATAAAAAAATAAAAATAAAAATAAAAATTATTTTTGCTCTTCTCTCAATCTTGTTGGTTAATCCTTTCCAAATCCAATGATAATAACTCGGTTGCCACTTAAATATGGTTCTAAGAAATTGATAAGCATTGTTTGTGTTCTTTGTTTGATTCTTTGGTTAGCTATGCTTTATAAGATCATTCTTTACACCTTTCTCATGCACTTAGCCAAGGTTAATGCAATTGTTTGCTTGCTTAGAGAATTATATGCAGATTAAGTACTCATTAAGATCTCAACGAACACTAGAACTTGCTTCAATATCTCTCGAGGCGAAATCCTAAATCATGCAATATTGGGGAGATGATTTTGGCCATTTTTGGACCGTTTGAGCCTTTATATACCCAACCTCTTATGTTATGTTATCCTTAGTTAGCCCCTTGAAGCCAAACACTTAACTTTTTTCTTTCATTACCCACATTAATCCTTACCCATTTAACCAGTATTAGCCATACCTTATAGCTTGAGATGAATACCAAGATGATGAAGACAGCGATAAAGGTTGAGTGTACATCAAAGATGTGGCGTGTACCGAGGTACTTTGTGTTATATTACTATTCAGTTTTGAAAAAAAAAAAAAAAAAAAAAAAAAAAAAAAAAAAGAAAGAAAGAAAGAAATAAAAAGTTTGAAAGTGTTCCATTCCTAACATGAGTCCTGGACGCCAAGAATCATATTTCAAAAGCGGCTCGACCGAAATACATATGAAGAAGTCTTGGTATATCTCAGGTTCTAGTTTTTTTTCCTACCCTTTCTTTCATAGCCAATAACCTAGCCTAACGTTACAACCTTTGTAAAGTCCATTTGATCTTTGGTGTTGCACTGAGTTACATTAGTGGAGAGATGATATGAAGAGCAAGCCTATGGGGTTCGATATATTCGTTATCCAGAGATCATCATACCACACTTGTGTGCATATACCTATCCGAGTTGCAAGCGTTGTGATAACTACTGGCTAGTCATATACGTACCAGAAGAATGGTTGTGTAAGGTGTTGTTAATTTTTGAATCATGTTTAGAATTCTTACAATGTTTCTCTATTCTTTGAGTTATATTTTCCATGCAATCTTTGAGAAATATATTTGGAAGGTCTAACTGCATTGTGTTTTGTTTAAATTTAATTTTGAGTCTTTGTTGTGTTTGCTTGAGGACAAGCAAAGTCTAAGTTTGGGGGTATTTGATACGACCAATATTGCATACATTTTAATGCCCTTTAGTTTAGATTTTTGTTATGTTTTTTAGTGAATTTAGTTTGTTTCATTTAGTTTTATGTTTTTCTTAGATTTGAAGAGTGAAGATGAAGAAAGAAGAAAAATGAGCATTTTGGCGATTGAAGTGAGTTATGTGCCCTGGAAGCAGAAGCTGTTTGTGCAGATCAGCCAACTTGACGGAATAAACTGTACTTCCTCAGAATGAACCAGCTGTTGAGCCTTATACCATTGGAAAGATATGGATGTTAGCTTTCAGAGGAATTTTACGGACTGTGATTTCGAGTTTCCTAGACGATGTTATGAAAGTTTTTGTACAAGACGTCGGTCAGCCAAGTCTACGCGGAAATTGCAAAGTCTGTTGGGTTTTTTCAAGTCATAATTCAGTCGAAGCCCAAAGCCCAAGATAGAAAACGTTGGAGATGATTTTAGTCCTATTTCAAATGGGTCTGGAGTAATTTACTTGGTAAACTTACCTGCCACATCATCAATTATCCAATACAAATGAGGAAAAGATTAAAAAAAAGACCTAAGGATGCTAGGATTTTGACGAATCTATAAGGGAGAGATTGTAGGAAGCAAAGGGGGTTCTCTGGTGAGGGATTCTCTGCGTGTTTTTGGAGGAGCAGCAGCCGCTTTCCATCTTTCCTAAGTTTTTCATGTTCTTAATACTTTTAATTATGTTTTCTTATTTTATGAGTAACTAAACTCTTTTTCTAGGGTTAGGATGATGCCCTAGCATGAATGTCTATGGTTTTTAATGTTATTCATTGGATTTCTAGTTTCTTTTAGATGAATGCTTAATCACTGTTTGAATTGTTACTGTTTGTTTGAGTTCTTTGATTGATCACCTTAGGACTTTGCATCTAGTAAGATTGGAAGATGAATTTGAGGCTGAACTAGCAATATAATTCAATTAGCTTCTTGTGGTTAAGTGTGGTAAATTACATTATTGCTTGACAAAGAATAATGGTTTGCTTGGTTCCCTTGTTTTCTAGAGCGTAAAGAGTCCTACTTGTTAAATTTATGCCTTAACCAGGATAGACTGCATGTTAGGATATACGACCTCTGCCTGAACTAGGAGAGAATCATTCACTTAAGGAAAACTATGGTCTAATGTGCCTGACAAGGACTTAGATACGGAATTATCATCTAAAGAATTGAAAGATCCATTGAATGCATTGAAACCTAAATTAGATTGCTTGTGGTTGATTCCGAATCCCTAGACTTTTCATCACTTGCCTTAAAACACAACATTTTCTTCTCTTTAATTTCAGTTTTTACTTAAGGTTCTGTTTTTGTTCGTTTATAAAATCATCACAACAAATTCTTCACATCCTTGATTGATTTTATTAATTAAGATCGAGTCTAGTCCGTTGTTTGAATTTATAGTTTTGTGTTTGTGTGTTATTAATATTATTAGATTTGGTTTAGTTTATCGAATTGGAGATTGAATTAGAATCCTCGTGGGAATGATACTTGGACTTGCAAAACGCTATATTACGACTACTTTGTGCACTTGCAAGTTTACACCAGACACCTCGGCTTGCCCACTTGTTTGAGGATGATAAGGTGTTGAAACCTTATGCATGACATTGTATTTCTTGAGTAGCGCCTCAATGGTTCGATTGCAAAAATGGGAACCCCCATCACTGATTAGTACTCGCGGCATTCCAAACCTTGCAAATATGTTAGTTTTAACAAAATCTGCAACCACTTTAGAATCATTAGTACGGGTGGCTTTTGCTTCCACCCATTTCGACACATAATCCACAACAAGTAATATATAAAGGAAACCATGTGAGGAAGGAAAATGACCCATGAAATCAATACCCCATACATCAAAGATTTCGACAGAATAGATAGGATGCTGCAACATTTGGTCTTTTGCACTTATATTACCCGTTCTTTGACAACGATCACAAGTCATACAAAAGTTCTAGCATCTCTAAAGATAGTAGGCCAATAAAGTCCACATTCTAAAACCTTATGTCATGTGCGTTGTGTGCCAAAATGACCCCTACATGCATAAGTGTGATAGAAAGTTAAAATCGAGTGAAACTCGGAATTATGCACACACCTACGTAGAATCTGATCAGGGTAATATTTCCACAAATAAGGGTCATCCCAAACATAACACCTAGCATCTCTCTTGAGTTTATCACGTTGGTGCTTATTGAGGGTGCTTGGAATTTGTTTAGTCACTAAGTAATTCACCAAATCAGCATACCATGGCTTACTTACCTCAATGGATAGCAATTGCTCATCTGGGAAAGCTTTTGGGATAGGTAATGGGTCCTCATACTGCACCAAATTACTCAAGTGTTCAGCCACCACGTTTTCACTCCCTTTCTTGTCTCGGATTTCCACATCAAACTCTTGGAGAAGTAACATCCAACGAATAAGCCTTGGCTTAGCCTCCTTTTTGTGAGCAAATACTTCAAAGCTACATGATCCGTGTAAATTATAAATTTAGTTCCAAGTAAATAAGAACGA